ATATATTTCTATTCTAATTCTCTATGTACAAATGCAAAGAAAAATTGAAGAACCTCAAATTAAAGAGCCAAAGAGAAGAGGAGAAATTGAGCACTGAGGAGTGAAGAAAGAAAGGTATAAATATTTATAGGGATCAGAGATTGAGAAAGGGGTATGTCATATGTGAAATAATGGTGATGTGTGAGTAATGAATGAGAGAAAGAGATCGTGTACCCACAATAGTTATAGATCGTAATCCTAGGTACCAAATTTACCAAACGTCTTTAATCTGCACTGACGCGCTGACTTGCTGTTTTCTCTTCCTCAGATGTCAACAGATCAATAGCCAATATGAGAAAGGGAAAATGAAAACTTAGCCAATTATGGTGGTGGGATATCTGTTGCGTCCGCTGCAAGCATTTTCAAGTGGTGGGGGGAGGCTGGAGTTGACAGGGCCTCTCATTTCTGATCTCCTCCAATTCAGCTTCCTTATTTTTAAACCTCATTTTCCATTTTTGGTTCCCGTTTTAGGGCTTTTGGTTTATTAAAGTTTTTGCCATTTCGTTTAATTTTTATTTTTCCCTAAAGTTCTCGAGTTGATATCTGCTGGATAAATTAACTATATAGGTGTACTTATTATAATCTTTTATTGTTCATCCTCTATAAATAAGTAATCAATCAAAAATTATTTTATGATCAATTGTAATTTTTTACTTGTGTGATTACACACAACAATAGCAATTATTTAGATAAATGAAACGAAAGAAGGATTATTTTAAATTATTTACTGAAAGTTGAACTCTTAATCCAAAGGTTCCAAGGTTTAAATGGTAAATATCACAATTATATAATAAACAATAAGGTTAATTTTCTACTTAATTTATGATTTATTTTAAAAATTTTAAACCAATCTATATATGAATACGTGTTTTCACACCAATCTAGAAAATGTGTGATAATTAATTCCGCACACATTATTTAGCAATATTTTTCAGCAATATTTTTCTTATGGGCTGTATATTTGAATATTTAAGACCAAATTTTATGAAAATTTATAGTAACAACTGAAATGATGTAGGCCTATATAAATTTACATAATCAAAAATTAAAATAATTTTGCTTAAAATTTTGTTATTTAATCTCAAAAAGTATTAGTCTTTCCATTTATTTTTAATAGTTTTGGTTTGACTTTTTTATTATTTAGACAAAAATTTTAAATAAAAATTCAACATATTATATAAATAATAATTGAAAATTTTTTAATTATATTAAACTACTCAACAACAATTTTATGTAAAAAGAAAAAAAAAATTTAATTGTTATTCATATCAGTTATTAGGTTTTTATTTAAATTCTATATATAAAAAATTAAAAAAATAAATTAAATCTACTAAAACTAAATGAGTAGAGTACTCTATTTGCATTACTGTAAATGCACGTAAGGTAGCTCCAGAGTGACGCATCCGAATACAATTTTCAAGCAAAGTATAATGTGGAAAGAACCACAATAATAGCACTACTCCGTGTGTATTTCTTTTGATCAAAAACATGGAATGGAAGCTTATGGGGCCTGCTGGGGGGCCGAGGGATCCATAATATTCCAAATAGACGGCACCTTAATCATACAAATTAAGGTAATACTTAGCGATGGCAATTTCCTTTGTGATCCGTGGAATTTCGTGGATTTTCTCATCACGGGAATAGAGATTTCAAGAATATTTTTTCCTGTATAGTAGGGATGGATGCATTTTTTTCCTCATGAAATTTTATGAGAAATTTCCTCCACCTCATGGTAACTGTGGAAGTCCATATAAAATAAAAAAAATAAATTTATTTATATATATATTTTAAATATATTAATAATTAATTTTTACTTACTCAACCTAATTAATTGACCAATCCTTTTTCTTTTTCTTTTTTTTTTTCAGTTTTTCCAAACCCAATTATATAGTCCAGTCCAACCCATAATTTTCTTAAACTTAATTGCTCAAACCCAACCCAATTTGCATTATCTTCTTAAACTTAATTGCCCAAGCTCAACCCAATTTGCTAGTAACCCTAAAACTAGAAGGACTATTTCAAATTTATGAGATTTGTGAATCTGCTCTGCGATTTCTCCTCTCCAAACTCCAGATTCCATTCTCCTCTCCTCTGCGCTGTAGCTCCCTGGCTTTGTTTCTGTTCTTCAATCGGTCAATTCCCTTCAACCTATCATTCTCGGTAACTTTTGAAAGGTAGTGCCCAAAACTCTGTTTCTATTCTTCAATCGGCTACTTGTAGCTTACTTGAGCCTAAGTTGCGAGTACTTATGAGTATTTGAGTATCTGTGCTTGATGATTTATTTTGAGGTGAAGCAGATCTCATTCTTTTGGCCTTGTTATTTTCGATTTCATTTTTCCTCCGATTGTTCGCAAGATTGTCAGAATGCAGTTTTTTGTTGTTTACATGCCTGCGCATCTTCTTTCTCGCATTCGCAGCAAACGATAATCATATTATTATTTTGAAACTCATTCAAGCTCTTAATTCATTCTATTTTTAGTTAATTTCTTAAACGAGAAAACGAGCATTAAGTTTTATTTGGCGGGAGCTTCGAATACCCGCAGGGACAAAGGCTATTTTTTATCCTCCGTAAAAAATCTCTGTGGGGATCTTCATACCCGTAATTGATGGGAATAGGGATGGGGAGGGGATCCCCACCCCTATGGGGACC